AAGTAAAACTGATTTGGGCACATAATGTCTGATCTGGGAGATAATACCAACTTTGGGGGCAATTATTTTTTTTACTTTTTCAATGTGAGGTTTCCAGTTGAGGTGCTGGTCAATGGACACGCCAAGATAATTGATTGAACAAACGCCCTCTATCTCAAACCCATTTATATCCAAGCTGCCCTCAATGCCCAGGTGTTTATGAGGCGTTTTAATAGTCATGCATTTGTTTTTTTCTACATTGACTGTAAGTTTGTTGGCACTGCACCATTCACAGAGGTTAGTATCGTCTGCAAATAGGCGAAAGTCAAAAGCATTAGTTGAGTTATTGATATCATTTATGTAAATTAGGAATAAAAGTGGGCCAAGAATCGATCCTTGTGGAACACCACACTTTATTGGTTTATATGTAGATGTAATATTGTTAATTTTCACTGATTGATAACGGACAGAAAGGTAGTTTTTAAACCAGAGTAGCGGGAGCCCTCTGATCCCATAATATTGTAATTTGTGGAACAGAATATTGTGATCTATAGTATCAAAGGCTTTTTTCAGGTCGATAAAAATTCCAAAAGTAATATAACCTTTGTCCAGTTTCTCGGCTATGTCTGAGATCAGGTCGGCTAGGGCACAGAAGGGGGAAATTGTCCTCAAAGTTCAAAAAGAAGGCTGCGATATCATCTGGGAACATTTAAGAGTTGTTTTCGATAGCAGGCCAGGGAAAGTGCGAAACATACATTGAAATGACAAACAAATCGTAAAAGTCAAGAGACTGAAACGTCGCATGTAAAATCGCAAGAAGGTTGCATCATTATAACGACGACAAATTTGGTGTCAATTGACAAGTTATTTTGGAAGCCGGAACACGAGTCTGGATAGCCGACAAACCGTTAAATATTTAAAAAGGGAGAACAAATCGTCAAATTAATATCTTTATAAACTGTTTATCATACGTAGAATTATTATGGTATGTTGGGCATAACAGTATAACTTTATTTATTGTGTATAATGTGTTTTAATCGATCTAATAATAATAATAATAATAATAATAATAATAATAATAATAATAATAATAATAATAATAATAATAATATTTCAATCTGGTATTCTAAACCCTATTGACGTAGATTTCTCTCTAAATTGTAACTGTGTTCGATTTATTTGCATTAATCGCTCTAAGCCCGTGTTCATGACTGATAATAGACAAGGAATTCTCAAATAAATAAATTGACAAAATTTATCTTTTAAGAATCTCAGTCATATCCCTATCATGATCAAATGCCATCTGGGTAAAACATCTTCTTTCCACATATCTCTATATATGTGTGTGTATGTATGTATATGTATACCCTGGGCATAAACGTGTATTTAAACGCCCTCTACGGTACAATTCTTCTATTTGAAGATCTGCATATTTTTTACCTTCATACAAAAAAATCGCTCATATAGTCGAACTAATTCCTTTTGCAAATACAAACATCAAATGGAGAGTATCCAATAGAATCAACGTTTACAAACACAAAACATTAAAGCGGGAGGGTCGTCATCTGCGCACGCGCGCCATTGAGACCCAAGCGATGATAACAACAAACGTCGAAAGAACGCAAAGGCTCATGGTGGACGCTTGTTTGTAAACAATGACACGCTATGGCCACCTTACGCATGCGTAAGCGACGAAACCACCGCTTTAAACAATATAATACAACAACACTTACCATTTGTTTCAGAAGAGATTAAAAGTCAATGATCTAAAAATGACGTTGCTGTTGAATACATCGAAGTCACAATGCATTCTGGGTAGGCTAGGGAGCGACGTGCCGTCACAGGGTACATTGAGATTGTGTTATTGTCAACAGTGGAAAGGTGGTCTTTAAGAACTGGGAGTTAATTCGATATAGCTAGATGTACTTGTTTTAAATAGTATCTGATTGTCTGATTGTATTCATCTGTATTTGTTACAGTAAAAATGCATTTTCTAACCACCAAAATAATGCATGTTTTCATAAAATAAACATTTATTATTTCTGCCAATTAATTTACTACTGGGTTTTGCAAAGGAGTGGAAATCATTTCACTGTTATTTCCTTGTGTATAATTCAATTCTATTTCTGTAATATCTTCATCAAATACTAGTAAACTGTCACTTCCAAATTGCATTTATAATCCGGTAATATTTTCGGCTATTTTTATAGATTATATTTAGTAATCTACGACAATAATAACGCCCTCATTGATTACATTGTACACTTAGCTCATCATTTTTTATCTATGGTTATTGGCTCCTCGTCAGTTGCTTTTCTATCTACAGGGTCTTGATGCCGTCCATGGTCTTTTTAAAGGTCGGTTTAACTTCATTATTTACATCATTGTACAATAATTTCATAACTTCTGTAGCTTGTTGTAGAAAATTATTATATTATATCTATATTAGTTTGTTTATTAATTATTGCTACTACTAGAAAACAGACATAACGAAAATAATAATATTGCTAATCTAGTTTTTCATTTGTCATATCTATAACCTCATGAAACCTATGGAATTGCCATGGAAACAACAATTAAGAACCAGATTGGTTGAGATATGAATTTCGTAGCCATATAAACGAGAATGATGGTTAATTGCCAGATAACTAAAAATGTTGACGTATTTTGGAGGGGTTGTTCATCAAACATAAACCAAGTGATTAGATTTTTGAAAATATATATTTATGATTGTGGATTGAATCGCATTTTTATTTATCATAAACTAAAAATGTTGCGTTTGTAGCAAAAAATGAATGACCACTAATACGCATGTGCAGGTTTGTTATTGTATGTACGTACGTATTATACTATAAAATAATTTCTCTGTTTCATATACTCAGATGTTTGCTACAAGAAAGACATTTTTCACAGTCAATCACAGTCCAATGTATTTATCAATACAGAGTACCAAACAAACATACTAAAAATTATACTAGTATGTTCTTTAAGAGGAATCTGGATCTGGATAGACACAGACATTTATTTTCTAAGGTTATTGTCCGATTTGTTGAGTGAATTATTCAAGATTCAATCTGTTTTTTCTTTCCAAAAAGAATTTACATGCACACATAATTTAAAAACAGAAACGGGAAGACAGTCTAAACTTGCTAGACTCGAAAACAAGTTTTTCTTTTGTTTAAGTAACTCCATTGTCGCACCTTCCTTGAATTGCATGTCCAGTATATGGCGTTATATTATCGTACTGAATGATATCCTAGTAAATTTGTCGAGCTCATGATTTGTATAAAAATTGCTATTATACGCAATAAAGCTAAATTTGTCTACCTTATTAATTATTTTGTCCTGTATATGATGTGCTCCCTCAACGCTGGTATATTTAATGATACTACTATTGTACTTTTGAGCTAGTAGCATATAGTATGGAATAAACATATAATTATGATAAACGTATTTTGTGACCACTCGAGTAGATTACGCCAACCAAGGTGGCTCACAAAAATCCCGTTTTGTAAACAATTGGTTTTAAAATAAAAACAGATCTCAGAGAAAAAAGTGGGTTTTAAAAATCGATTCAAGAACCGAAAATGGTTATTAAAAAGGATTATGAAATACAAATGAATTGTAAAAATGTTTTTCTAAAATGCCATGTTGAGAGCCACCTCGGTTGCCATGGTAGATTCATTAATAAGGATAACTAATTTACATCTGTGGCAGGAGTTTGTGTCCTCGGAGTGCCTTCTATTTCACGTGTTTCACTCTCATACTCGTTGGTAATATGGTTCCACTTGTACCGCCCCGAAAAAAGTTGTGATGCGGTCACCATCAAAATGAAAAGGGCACAACAGAAACTCATTGCGTTAAAATTGCGATGAAATGCTTTTTATCCCGATGTCCAAAATCACTTATCGCTGGGTATGTGAATGCAATGTCCCTACAACCAGGACTGTGGTGAATATTATCATAGTGTGTACAGTGCACAGATATAAATACCAAATCTCACTAATTCTGACTAATCTAGGCTATTCTAGGCATTTGTTCCACCCGCCATCTTTACACGCAGACGTGGACAGGCTGTTTATTGTGAAGTATGTCATAGTTCAAATCCCACAAAATACTTCATAGGAATCAATCAATGTAGAAAAATTGTGTTATTTTGGACAGGAAATTGAGATTTATATTTAAATGTTTGCAAGTCGTACCGAAATATTGTGACCCCCAAACAAAGCTATATCGCATACAACGCGATGTGAAAACTCACCGTCGAGTAGTCACCGATGACGCACGACATACACTGTTATGGAAATAACACATAAAATCATCAGTGAGAGGCTGTCAGATAGAGGCTTTAGTATCTCAAGAAGGCGACGTATTTGACATGAGTTTGCCCGAGGCGACAGTAAGTTATCATCTTGTATCGTAATCCCAGATCTAAATGTTTGAATCTGAATAAACGACAATTATTCATAAATACGTTCATAAACTATGGTACAGATTTATGACGCACATTGTATTAGGATTTATAATTAATATTTTTAGATTTTTTATAAAAATGCATGTAGCAAGTGGTTTCTGAAATATTTCAGACAATATTTTAGCAGCATGGCTATTTTGAAGCTGTAAGCGGTACGCACATCAGTTATAAATCCAAGCTGTCAAGCATTTTTGTAAGCAAGTGTAAATTTCACATTCGCTTCATTTGTTAAACAGATACCCCGGAAACAACCAACGATATAAATAGATGTGCAATAACATGTCGATGCCACTGCACAACTTACGAGCCGTTTCTGTGATAGACGATGTGGCGCCAATTAGTGGACGCGAAAATCGGGATTGCTTGACAACATTCATCGGACTTGCAACGGGATTTCTTTCTGGTGTCAGTTTCGCTGTAGCCGATATATTTGTTTTGTTGTGCATCACGATTGGTTATTCACCAGCACAAATTTTACTCGTGAAGTCCTTAGTAACGTTGCTTGCATTGATGCCGTATTTCACATACAAGAAAATTAATCTTTTGGAACTCAACAGAAAGGACACGTTATTGAATATCACGAAGAGCCTTTGTGAAAATGGCGCAGACGTGATGTACTATTATGCATTTGATATGATTGGATTGGGGGATACAACGGCAATCGTGGTAGGAACATTGCCAATATTCACGTCTATCTTAGCCTACGTATTGATACGAGAAAAGTTTGAACTGCATGACTGTGTTAACGTACTATTAAACGTTGCAGGAATTGTATTGATCTCGCGGCCCGTATTCATATTTGGCAATACAATACATTCGCCTGCTTTCGGCTATGTCTATGCTATTTTGACTGGACTCGGGATAGCCATCGGCACTGTATGTTCTAGAGTAATGTCGGACGGTGTTTCTCTGATAGCTGTAGTAAACTATAACGCTTTAGGTGGTGCTATATTGATGACGATTTTACTGTATCCAACGAGTGATGACCCTCTCTGTTCTTTATTATATAACCATCCTATAACTGTTGTATACCTTGTAGTCACGGCAACACTGTATTTTGCTTACTTGTATACGTATAATAGATCACTACAAATACTGAGTGCAGGAAAAGTAGCAATTATAACCAACATTTCGGTAGTTATTAGCTTTATAGCTGATATTATTGTTTTCAACAGAAAGGCGGGTCATTTAGAAATACTTGGTTCCGTGTTTATCATTGTGAGTTCTGTGATAATCGTTCTCTTTGTCTGGCTCGAAACAAGAAGCAGAGTGAACGAAGAAATTAGACTCATTCAGATTGCTAAGTGAAATCTATAACTTGAGATTCCGTATTTACTCTGATACTCAATAAAATAGGTTGTTGAATTAACTGTCTAACATATTTTGATTTGGCGAACATTTTAGGGAGAATGCTTTTAGTTACTTTTATTATATGTACAAAAAACAACATAATTATATATGTATGTTAATATGCAGTTCAGATTGGTTATCACATTGTTTAAATTAGGTGCTACAAACTATTGGAATAAATAAAATACGTAATATTTATTCCACTTGAGACACCACTATGCATGCCGAATTATGTTCAGCATAAAACAAGATTATGGACAAATAAATTTCCATTTGGTAGTGCTCTGTTTGGTATAAACAAATGTAAATTTGTCGAAGAGGACATATCCGTAATCCCATCTCTAGTGTTATTTAGTTATTTATTTATTTCACCAGAATGATCATTATAACAGAACTTATAAACAAAATACAATAGTAGTAATTCCGGCGTGGACCATGGAAATAGTCCTTATGGACTAGTCCAGTCCATGGCCCAGACTGTCAAGTAGAAATTTACAATTTACTAGTAAAGGAAAGAAAAATTACTATTTACATAACGAAAATTAAAAGGTAATATATATGATTTAGATACAAATATGACTAAAATAATTTGTGTAATAATAATATAAACGAACTACTGGTACAGAGAAATGGGAGGCAATCGAGGAATTTAACAAAGCAAATAATGTTTCATTTCATATTTAAATTTGTTTCTGTTGTTGATGTTCTTGAGGGAGTCTGGAAGTGAATTCCAGTGTTTCACTGCAGCAAATTTAAAATTATGTTGTGAAACTGTAAGTTGAGTAACATGAATTGACAAGTTACCGCTAGACACTGAACTTGTGGGATAGCAATTAACATACTTATTGAGGCTGTGCATATCTGTTGTGTTTAAGGTCGAAGATAAATAGGCAGGTTTGTAATTTACAAAGTTTGTGAATATCAAGTATGCGTAATTGGATAAAAAGGGGAGCAGAATGTGCATTAAAGTGCGAGAAGGTGACAAGGCGCACAATTTTGTAGGAGCAGAACTGGTTCAAGAAGTGTTGGGTATGTGTTTCCCCAGATTTCAATACAGTACATTAAGTGTGGGAGAATAAGTGTGTTGTAAAGTAGGATGAGAATTGGTCTGGGAACATAGTGACGAATGCGAGATATAATGCCCACTTTGGGACTAATGGTTTTCACATTTTTTTCAATATGAGAATTCCAATTTAGGCATGGGTCAATGGTTACTCCCAGATAAGTGGCTGCAGACACGCCCTCTATCAACGTATCATTGATTGCGAGCTGTCCCTCCACTTTTACTTTTCTTTGCAAGGTTTTCAGGATCATATAGTTTGTTTTTTTCTACATTAATTGTTAATTTATTAGCATTGCACCACTGTACAACATTTTGAAAATCATTATTAATATTAGATAGATCAATAGAGTTAGTTTGCAGGAATTTAAATAAATGTGTGTCATCCGCAAAGAGGCGGAAATTAAAAGCATCAGTAGAGTGGTTAATATCATTTATGTAGAGAAGAAAAAGTAAAGGCCCTAATATTGATCCCTGGGGCACCCCGTATTGAATCTGTATCGCTCTCTAGTTAAGAACAACCATGTGACCTCATGAATCCTCATGAATTTAGCATTCAAACACATTGAGGAGGTGGAATGGATGTCCAAATTCTTAAAATTTAAGAAGTTAATTCCTAATTATATATGTAGTATACTTTCTTAAGAGTACAAACTGGGCTATAAACTCCCAATTTATGGAATAAATTTATTATGATATTGCAAATTGTTTTTTATTAATAGAATGGCGTAGTTTGAGTTCAATGTACATGTATGTAGGTAGGTTGTACAGTTGTTACGTAATATGTACAACCATTGATTGGTCTGTGATGCTTATTACTGAAATTGGTAAATGAGTGTAGTATGTGGGGTTTTATTTCAAGCTATTTTTAGTGTTTAAGTTTGAGACAAATTGTTTTGTGAAGTTTTATTTTCTGTTTTTTGTTCCCGTTCGGACACCGTGCGCCAGGACACATACTTTAAACATAATATTATACATATGCAGATAATTTTTTTCACGATCTAATTCAAGATGGCCGAATGGCGGTCATTTTTGGAACCAGGTGTCGGCTGTTTACAGATGGATTTTGTTCAAACTTGGACATTATGCATGTCATTTTTCCCCAGATCGGAATCAAAATGGCCGACCGGCGTCCATTTTGTTTTATTGAATGCAGTTCTAGTGCCATATCTCTGACATGCTTTGACTGATTATGTTCAAATTTCAAATATTCATTATACTTCATGTCATTGATATACAGATGTATTGGTTTGACGATCCGATTCAAAATGGCCGAATGATGACCATTTTTGTGCTAAAAAATCATTAAAAATCAAGCATTTTTGCCATTCCGGAACCGGATCTAGTTCGTTTATGGATCGATTTAGTTCAAGCTTGGTACACACATTAGACTTCATAGGTTCCCGATCCACGTCATTTTGTTTTAATTAATGCTGTCCCAGAGCTCGTTTCACGACCAGATACAAAATGACTGAATATTAATCATTTTAATGATAACATATCAAGCATCAGCTTCTGGATCCATATCTCTGACATATTTATATTCAAACTATATTACTATAAAGAAAAAATTATATATTATGATAACTAACAACAATGGAGTTTCTATCCCATACACCTTTAATCGGTTGTCTATGGATGAAAATAAACCCGAGGTTGCAAACTTTATGACGCGATAAAACAGTGAGTTAAACTAGTTATTATAGTTTTTATGTATTAAAGTGCTTGAATTGTGTCACGAAATGTCGCCTTTGCTCTCTTTTGTTTTATGTAGGTCATGCCATAACCTTCAGCTGTTTGCCAAAGCATTACAATATTTTGTATACTTTTTCAATAAATTTTAGTTGAAAATTCCGGGCCACGTAAATGTCATAATTATATTTAAATAATAACACATGCTTGTGAGGGTAATCACGATTT